GTTTAGGGGTAGAAACACAGTCCCAAAGGAATTAACAAATCTTAAGTAATAAAAACAACACCTAGTACTCAATATCTGATACCTTGTAAAAGCCAGTTGCCATAAGCTGGCAAAGCAGAGGAGAGGAGAGACAGCAGGAGGAGAAGGTAAAAGAAATGTATAGTTACTGGTCCTCAAGTTCAATGGGATCTAACACCAATGTCAAGGTTAGAGTGGTTAGAAAGTCAATAATCCCATGGAGAAAGATAAGTGTTCTTATGACCTTACATTCACAAGACATGGGGGAGGCAAAAATGTACCTTGGTTAATTTAATTAATTTATTCCCTAGTGATTTTTCAGAAAAATCAGAGTGAATTGTTTTACCCCAATTATTAATCCACTCAATTCACCCTTAATTCCTCTTCAAATAGCACTTCAAAGCATCTATTTCTTCCCTGCCCCCTCCATAGGGAAGAAAAATCCCCATTTTATCTCACTTTGTTGAATACATTTTGTTCTGCTGTGTTGTGTCTGTCAGATGATACCAGATGGAAACACAATAGTAGAGGAAAGAGAGGTAGATGAGGTGGACTTGAGGCTAGCGAGGCTCACAAGGCATCCTCATGGTCCCACGCCAGGTCCAGTGGGCTCTTGGCTTTGCTGGGCTGGAATCAGATGCCATTCATAGCAGCCTCAATACCCACTGGCCACAGAAGGCTTTGCCTCCCAGAGGTGGCAGAACTGCAGTTGTAGCCAGCAACCTTCTGCCTCAGAGTGCACTGACCAATGATGCTGCATGCCTAGGCAGCAGACTGCCAACTCATGGTATCAGGCTGATGGCATTTTCTACAGTTCCAACTGAAGTGACAATATCTCACACAGACATGTGTTTCACACACAGTAAGAGAATGGAATTTTTTGTTTAATTTCTTTTTATAGTACATGACAACAATATATGGTGGTGAGGTATACTCACCTGACAGAGTTTTGCAGGCCTGATATAATCTTATGAGAGGTCTCAAATTTTCCCATCAAAACAGGGGTGTAGACTTTTCAATTTTGGGGGTGGGTGGGTTATGGGGCTGAACCTGGTCTGGGCCCATACTTATTAATCTATATTAAATTATTTTACTTATGTTTCAAAACAACATATGCCATCAACAATTATTGTATTTATTTTATTTATTTTGGCATTTTTACCCCGCCCTCCCCACGAGCATGTGGTTTAAAACATTTTGCCCATTCAATAGTGTGAATTTCAGTCAAAGAAAGAGGACTCTATACAAGGAGAAGACAGATCTCATGAAGTCCTTCACTGAGACAATTTGAATAATGTCCCGCCGTGGGCTCCTCCGTGGCCCCTCTGGCTGCTGTGGCGGGACTGGCGTGCACCGCGCCGAACCCTCAGCATGCCCTACAGAGCGAGGATCCATCGGAGAGAAGTTCCGAAGACACAGAGGGGCGCAGCAAGCAGGAGCGGGGCTTGAGAACAGATGGGCAGCCGAGAGGCATTGGCAGGATCTTCCTCCCCCCTTCTCAGGGACCGGGACCAGGAGGAGGGGGAAGGGCGCACGTAAGAGCGAGGGGATGGGGCTTACCAGGGGGATCGGGAACAGCAACGCTGCCCACGAAGTCGGCGGGCACCTTGGGCTTCCTGGAAGCGGCCACCCCCTGCGGCTCGTCAACTCAGGGCGGTCTTAGGCAGCACGTACAGGAGGGCGGGACTGTGGGGACTACACCCAATAGGGTTGGAGAAACAGGGGAAGAGCCCTATCAGCAATTAGGGAAGGAAAGGGGAGGGCTGAACACAAGGGTGGAAGGGGATAAAAGCAGAGAACCTGAGAGAGCCAGGGAGGATGTCGGAGGCAACTGGCTCTGTCGGTGAGATAGACCTGTGTACAGCTGTTGACCCCGAGGAGCGGATGGAGGGAAGTGACGTAACTCCCCCATCCCTCCAAATCTGAGGCTCTGGCTTCTCCTGAGGACTTCAGTAACCACGGCAGGCGCCCCTTCCCTGACAGGGGACACCCCCTGGCGTTGTATTTCCTTTCATATACGAATGAAATATCTATTTGTCAATAAATATTTCATTCGTATATGAAAGGAAATACTTCTCTCCCCACCCACCTCCTCATATCTTAACCTGAGTGTGTGACTGGCCCAAGGTCACACACTGTCATTCACAGCTACTTGGGGATTTGAACTCTGGTCTCCCCAGTCTTCGACCAGCACTCTAACAACTGCACCACTCATATACTGGATAATCAGTAGGGATCTCCAAATGCATCTCAGAATCCACAGTAAATACTGGCTTCTCAGATACCCTGACCTGAAGATATAGGAGCATTTGTCCAGTTGAAGTAGGGTCCAGTACAGCAGAATCACCTCCCTTTCTATATTAGGGGAACCAGCTTTATCTCCTTCTCCCCCTATCTACAGGTGCACAGAGACAAAAAAAGAAGAAGAAGGTCTAAAGACAGAAATATTCCCAACTCCTCCATTTCTTTTTCCCTAAAGCTGCAAGTCCCAGGATACCAAAATCGCCTTCACTTACTGCATTTGAACCTCAGGCCTCTGCTCCCTGCCCCTCCCCAACACACATGGATAAAGACAGAAATATTCCCATGTCCTCCATTTCTTCTTTTCTAAAGCTGCAAGTCCCAGGATACCACAAAAAGGCTGGCAGGGTGGAGGCTTCTCCCATGACTGAAACAGGCTTCGTTTCTTCATAGACAGTATTATCCACTGACAGTCCCCTCCCTCTCAAACAAACAAAACTAGGAACTTGTTAAGTTGTGACAAAGACAAACAGTAGTTTCATGATGCTACCTGGCAGCCCAGGAGGGGCACTGCCCCTGCTGGGAAATCCCAGGGGGATCTGAGGCTTTCTACCCCACTGTAGTTTACAGCCCTGCATCAAAGCACCTACTTATCAAGCATGCACCATTTGTGGCTGCCAAGCTGATTGCAGCCCAACACTCATTTATTACAACCTTTGCTTCAGAATCTGCTGGCTTAGGTTGGAAACTGACTAAAGCAAATGAGCACCAATTCTAGAAAAACGATTTCACATGCCACTAGTAGGGGATCTACTTCTGATTTTGCATTTATGAGGGGAAGGGCAGGGGCACCTACTTTTTCCTGCAGAAGGGCCCAGGGTTAATTCCTGGCATCTCCAATTAAAGGATCTCAGATAACAGATGCTGACAGACCCTTCCTTGCCTGAGACCTTGAAAAACCAGTGTCAGGTCAAAGGAGAAAACAAGATGGATTGGTGTTCTAACTCAGTATAAGGCAGCTTCATAGGCAGGCCCGGTTGCTCAATAAAAATCAGACTACCATTTATGCCTGGTGAGCTGCAGTCAGCTTAGCTGCTCATGAACTGACCAGGCTTATCCTATATAGACTGAAGGGGAAGTGAGATAATTGGTATAACATTTGTTTTCATCATGAGAAACAGGTCCCAGTGACAGCAATGACAATAAGTATATGGATTGTCATTGATCAGATAGTAAAAGATCATATCCTTTCTATCTACTAAAACCTAATTTTTGACCGAAATATAGGGAGCAATCTTAAGCAAGTCTACTTGGAAGAAAGTCCTATTTTATTCAGTGGGGCATATTCCCAGGAAAGCATTCTTAGGATTGCAGTAATAGGCTCCAATATATAACATATACAAGTTAGCTGAACTCATAGGATGTGCTATCACTGAACAAAACCATACACTAAAAGCATGATGATTCTGACCAACACATTTGACAGAGCAAGCGGACCTGAAGTTAACTGGAACCTGAAAAAATCAATTAATAAGTAGAATGAGCAAAAATTAATTTGGATATATCAAAAATGTATTTCTCTGAATGGTCTAGCAGCAGACTGCAGTGTTATGATAAACTGCGAACATTTAGTAACAAAGCCTTCTGTGAAGAAGTGTTTGTTCGCATCACACTGAGCAATAGCGCTGATACCATTTAGAAGTTACCTTTATTATTAAAGCAGATAATGAGAAATAGGCAGAGTTTCATTTGCTTAACTCAAACAACACTCCACATTGGGGCCAACCAAAATCTGTGCTACCAAGATAAAATAGAATATACTGATAAAAATTAATCCTACAGGGATCATTACCAATAGATATTAATAAAGTCTGGATATGCAGGCAAGCAAAAAGAAACCCAATCAGTTACAAAATACAGTCGCCTAAATGTATCAAAAGCTAGAACAGTGCAATATTTCAGGATGGGTTTGCTTAATGTAACTGGTTTTGATACCAGCATTTAGTTGTTTTTAAATTGGAAAATGTCAAGTGATTGTGTTAAGCCATCACCCCGATCCATTATCACAGGTTGTCTTTTCATATTACATCTCAGCCTGCCTCCCCTTGTTAAGTAATAAGCCAACAGGATAAGAAAGACAGATATATACTGGTTGAAACACGATAACACTGTTAAATAAGCAGTCTAGTTATCCTTGTAGTTTATCACCAGGAAAACTGGGAAATGCTGTCGCATAGGTGGGTTCTATTAATTAGCTTTAGGATTCTAAAGCAAAACCAGTGGCATGTATTTCAAGATCAATGCAACTGTACTACTCACTTTGATCATTACGTCAAAGACTCCACATCTTTTTGTAATACACTTGTTTCCAGAAGAAAATAAGTCTATAAAACACAGCTAATTCACAGTTCACACGATAAAATAACAGTGATCCATTATAATCAAAATAGCTTGTATTTAAAATTGTACCCTATAGGTACAAATATTTAAAAATTATGAGTAGGTTGGATTGTGCTAAAGAGTCTCCCTAAACCAAGTAGGGGAAGGGAACAAGAGAATTATATATAAAAATAAATGACAGCAATTCGTTTTTAAAAAATAATCTTTTTTATAATAGCGCAATGTAACTTCAATGAAATTTGAAATAAATGACGGCCTTCTGTGTTCACATTTTAAAGTCAGTTTTATGGATAAACCATTTCAAAGGGGCTACTAAATATACAAATATGCAAGTGTCTTACCCTGGATCTTTCTTCCAATTTGGTCATCATAACAACAGTTGCACCCCTTTGTTCCCACATCATTCTCCAGAAGTCTCCAAAAGTTTCAGGGAGGGCTCCTTGGGTTGCAATATAGGCATTCTGCTTTCTATAACCATCTATATAGTTAGCGTTGATATAATCACTGCCTGGTATGCCTACAAAGCAAAATAGGGCAAATTCCTGAAAGTTCACATCATCTCACTTTAATTTTCTGGATAAGATGCAAAACAACTTAACATCCAGTAATCTCCAATTTCATACAAACTCTTTCCACATAACTACTTAAAACAATTCATTTTTTGAAACTTAGTACTAGGATGGCTGGGAATAATCCATTCTTAAGATGAATGACAGTGGTCATACCATTTTTGAATTCTGTGGAGTAGTGAAATTTCCAAGTTTTTTGGTCTCATTTACGACATTAACATATGAGATCTGAATAATGAAATAGTTCTAAAAAGCAAACAAGTTAGCAAACAGCTGTGGCTTCAATAACATTTACTACCAACACAAATTCTCATGTCACCAAATAATATAGTGTTTTCTAATAATTTATGGATCGGTCATAGAACTCTCACTCAATAGCACAGATCTCTGCTGCTATTTTCCTTCCATCATGGAAACTGTCCACTTAGTTTTCCTTTTATTGAACTAGTTACCAATTTATAAGAGAAGCTGCCATCTTATCCCATGACTATTAAGTTCTTTCAGGAACCTATGGTGAGGGACTCTCAAAATCCTTTTGGAAGTCTAAATGTATGATATTTTGGTTTAGACATAATGTGAAATCATGGCCTGTTTGACTGTGGTTAGCTGGTAAAGCCAGCAAATACTGGCTTTACATTCTCCTCTCTGTGCCTGGGACAGTGCTAAGACAACACAAAAACATGGTAAAAACTAGTTAGCAAACCAAATACAGATCTTGGTTTATTAACTGTATTTAGTAGAACAGCCTGGATTAAGACAACCACACTAACTATAATTAGCTCAATTAAACCATGGTTTGTGTGCTGTCTGAACTGAGCCTATGTCTATCCAATTATGTCTATCTTCATCTCTTTTGACACTCTCAAAGAATTTGAAAAGATTTTAAAAAGTGGATCAGCTAAACTTCTCTTTGCATACAGCACACTACACATCCTTGAGTATAAGAACAGAAATACTGAGTGTAAGAACAGAAATTGCCAGTACTGACTAGGGATGGGCATGAACTGCATTTTTGCAGTTCAGTTCATGATTTGTAGCTGAACCATGAAACAATATGCCAGTTTGTGAACTGAATCAGTTCATATCAGTTCGTGAGCTCCTGTTTTCCACTCCCTACAACTTTTCATGGGGAGCATGATTTCCAAACAGCTCCCACTTAGCTGTTTGGTTTAAATGGCTCCCTGCTTTCTGCTCCCTGTGGCTATTCGTGGGGAGCAGAAAGCAGTGGGTTAAATGGCCCCAAGCCATTTAAACAAAACAGCTGTTTTTCATGAAGAGCTGCCACAAACTGCCTCAAAATTCTTGGAAGTTCATGGCAGTTCTTCAGTTTGCGAACGTCACTTCGCAAATCACAAACTGGCCAAAATTCCTGACAAACTTTATTTAGTCAGCCAATTAGTGCCCATCCCTAGTATTAAAAGAGATCTTATTTTTAAGCTATACTTTAATAGATTTTATATGGAGTTTATGTCGTTAACCAAAAGGCAGTTTATAAATATATTACATCTACAAACAAATAAAGATGCAAACAAAACACAGGAAGCTTCCTTGCAAAAGAGTTCCTCTTCATAAGGTAGCCAACCTCCAGGTTGGGCCTGGAGATCTCCCAGAATTACAACTGATCTCCAGACATCAGAGATCAGTTCTCTGGAGAAAGTGGCTGCTTTGGAGGGTATGTATGGCATTATACCGTACTGAGGACCCACTAGTCCTCTTACCCTGCCCCCTGCAGATTCCACTTGCAAATCTCCAGGAATGTCCCAACCCTACTTCCTCATGTTTACCTACCACCTCCTCATGCTTACCTAACACCACTAAATTCCAGGTTCCAAATAATTGTATGGGTGGGGGTACACTTGACTGACAATGAAGTCAAAGGAAAGCTACCTGATCAACAGAATCATGTAGTGCACACACCAGGTAAATGATACTACTTCCAACAGGATTTATACGGATAAGTCCTTTGATCATGATCACCTAGATGCTCATGTATAACAGATCAATCCATGCATGTCTAGTCAGAAGTCCCATTAAGTTAAATGGTACTTATTCCTAGGTAAATGCAGTCTCTCTCAGGTAAGAGGACTACTTGGAAGTTATAAACAGAAGAGATTTTCAACAAATTCATAATGTTTCTGTGGATAATGAGCATGATAGAGATTAATTTTGATACAAAATGGCAAAATTCAACGAAATGCATTACATAAGGGACCACAGGAAATGCTTATACAGCACAGGGATAGTCCAGGGGATGCAGTATTTCTTCATGAGATCAGCAGACACAGACAATGTGTCTTCCCGCCTTATCAGCTTCCTTTCAATGGAAGATAGGTCATGACCTGTCAAGTACTTGAGGGGGAGAGACAACTATGTCCTCCAGTTTATTGAAGAGACCAAATGGGTGAGGAAAGGAAAGTAGCAAATTCATGGGCTGGAAGGGCCATGGGAGAGCAGCAAAGCATCTACTTTGCATGCACAAAGGTTTTAGGTTCAACCCCTGGCACCTCCAGTTGAATGGATCCAATAGTAGGTGGAGTCAGCTCATCTCCAGACTATAAAAATCAGCTCTCCTGACATTGTACCCCACTGTCTTCCCCAGGCTCCAGCCCCAAATCTCCAGGAATTTCCCAGATTGGATATGGCAACCCTACCCCCCATCTCTGTCATTAGCCAGGGGGGATCTGGCACTTTAGTCTGGCAACCAGCAGGAGGGTTGTGGGAGGCAACGTTCTTAGAGAAAAATCAAAATCATTTCTTTTTAAATTTCAAATGTTTAGATTTGCATTGTTTTTGTTGTTGATTCTTTTGTTGCTTTTAGTTCATTTATATGCAGTTGTTGCAAAAATAACGTTGGAATATACATCCGTGTTAATTGGGAGAATTTGGTATAAGGAAAGAAACTGCTGTGAAAAAACAAACCCTCATGGATTAATTTCTAGCAAGGAAAAAACACATGGACATGGATATATTCCAATTAAAACAGTTTAGAAATCCAGTCTCATTCTTCCTCTCCTCCACTCCAGATACAGAAGATCCTAATGACAGAGCAATGATAATTCAGGAGTAAACCAAAAGGGTTGCTGGTCTCATGTGATCACTACTAGAGAAATGCACAAAGGTGTCAGCTGGCTCAATATATGAACGATTCAAAGTAAATGGAAAATCTGAAAGCATAATAGAATAATCTCATTAACAGAACTTTCCTTTTGCTAAAAAATATTATTTTCCCATGTGCCTAATTTTTCATTCTACCACTCAATTATCTTTGAAGGAGACTACTGACCTACTGTGACCCTATTTAAATACCAATATAGTTTGGAAAGGATTTTTAAATTGTATGGATTATTTATGAAGTTTGCTTTGACCTGCAATATCATCCTTGGTGACCCTGAACACCCATAAAGACTTCTAAAATCTGCATAAGCAGTGTCCAACTACAAATGGAATTTGCACAGCTTTTAATGTTGTCGGGAAAGTGATGATTGTTTGCTCAAGATAAGAGAATTCTTTCTAGTTTTCTAAAGTTACTTGTACTTAAGTTCATGGCTGTCATATTAACTGTAGTTGTGCATACCATGTGTACAAAAATGTACAGACCTACATCCCCTGGAAGCCATGAGACTCTCTCTGATCTGGCTGGATACTGAGTGGGGAACCAAAGCAATCATTTTACATCAACAAGTAGTGGGGAGCCAAAGCAATCATGATTTTGGTCTAACAATAGCAAGGTTTCACTTCCAAACCTCCAGGAATTTCCCAAGCTGAAGTTTGCAAACCTAATTCTGAACACGGTAAATGCTTGTAAGGAGTTTAGCTGAGTCCCACAGACCTGGGAAAAATGATTTTGGCTACAAACAGAAGATCTTATATGAAAGACACAGAAGGCCTTCTATCACAGAGTATCCAGTCAGGGCTACAGAGAGATTCCACTATATGCTGATCCAAATTATGTCTCTAATTTTGTAATTTCATACTTGTACACACATACATAAGTGTTCCCCTCATGGATGCACACTTTAATGTGGTGAGAGGGTTTGTGTGTGTCAGCAAAGCTGAGGGCAATACTGTAAGGAATTTAGACTCTGTCAAGAGGCTAAACGCCTAGAAGAGTTACTCAAGGCGGAATGTTCACAGCTGACACACCAGACTAAGATGATCTCCTTCAGGGGTCAACAGTCACATTTGCAGAAGAGAACAGATAGTTCCAATGGTGGTAGGGACAGAGGAATCCTTGAAGAGTAGCTACTGGAAGGTGACACTGACAGAGGCTTTATCATAGACAATGGCAGTGCCACTTCAGCTAACCCTGGTAGATACTGCACAGAAGAAGACAATGGTAAACCACTTCTGATCATCTCTTACCTCGAAAATTCTATGATGAGAAAATCTCTAATGAGGATGCTTTGGTAGTCATTAATTCATAGGGTCACCATATGACACATTTATTAATTCTGATGAAGTGGGCAAACAAACTCATAGTTCACAAAAAACTCATATCACAATAAATCTTTAGTAAGTAAATGGGATGGTGCAGGTTAGCCTGAACTTGTCAGATCTTGGAAGCTAAGTACAGTAGGCCATGGTTAGTACTTGGATTGGAGACCTCCAAGGAAGTCCAGTGTAGTTGCACAGGGGCAGGCATTGGCAAACCAACTTTTAATGACTGTTGCCTTGAAAATCTATGGGGTCTCCATAAGTCGGCTGCGACTTGACAGCATTTTCCATCTCCAAGTAATCAGTAAGAAATCTATTTAAATTTACCCTTGTACCTTTACCTAGCACAAAAACAGGGGCAAACTGATTATGTTGTGGTGCTGTATGAGAAGTACTAAGATTAATGGGAATGATTTTTTGACACATTTCTAAAAGAGTATTTTTAGCTTCATATAACATGAAACTTAATGTCTAAAATAGCAAAGTAGCATTTACAAAGGGGTATTAGATGTCC